CCTAGAGTCACGAAAAACTTTTGATTTGTTAATAATAATGTTTTATACATGTATAATGTAGAAATATTTATTTCCTACTAATAATGTCTTGGATCTCAGAGCTTACATCTTTATTGTAGTATAATTTGCTGTCCTACTTTTTCGACAGCGGTAAATCGTTTCGGCAGTAATTTGCATATTGCGCAATAATACAACGGGACTACAACGTTTTTATCAAAAATATACGTTCATATTTTAACTTGGATAACTTAATTTTAAATTGAAAAGGCTAAATATGGGAGATTTTAAGATATCCCGACAAAGTATGGGAGTTTTGAAGGATCAAATTCATGTACTATTTCTTGGGCTGTTAATCGGTTTAGGACACTTTGCGCGATTGTAGCCGACGAAATCCCATGTGTAGATGACTTAGCTCTGAACGCGCCTGAGGGCGCGTCCGTCGCAAAAACAGGATTTGAGCACCACACTAAATACCGTTTTCCGGAATATACCGGACAAGAAGCTTGGATGATAAAATGATAAAATCTTGTCTTTTTAACCAACGGAATGAAGTTTAAAAGGTCTTATTCATCTTTTCACACCGATTTATGCATGATAATGAATGACAAATGCAAAAATCTGCGAAAAAAAAACGATATTTGTCTATTTTGTGATCATGATTTCTGCAAGCGTCTAGAGGTACTGCTCCAATCCTGTATTGAGTTAAGGCAGCACGCTTATTTTTGTATTTAACATGCAAATTATTTTGTCTCAAGCTTTATTTACACATCTGTATTATTTTGTTAATGCTCATTTGTTTGTGAAATTTTACTGTTTATAAAACTGATGCCCATATGGGCCTAGTTGAAATAAAAAACTTGAAACTCGCCACACTAAACTAAGCCACAGCTTCGAATGGCCAGGGGGGTGTTCATGGATATAGTGAATTTTGTGGATTTAAATGACTGGTTGTCTTTAAAATGCATTTTCAGCATGAAATTTTTTTTTTGTGACATATAATGTGATCATTGGCCAATTCGAAAAAAACGGTTAGAAATCACATGCTGATAATTAATTTACAGATGTCAAGGCCGCCATTGTTTGTAAACTTTGTTTTTAAACAGCATGCTCGGTGGAAACAAGTAATTTTACAGGGGGGTACAAACTTTCAGCAAAAGCTCCTTAGATTTTTGGCTTTTACGGAATGAATGTGATTTTTTTAACTGCCTGGCTGTTGCACATGGGATGATTTCATTACAGATTTGCAATGTTATGACATATATGTTCTTAACAAAATGTGTTTTCTTTTTCCAGGTTGTGTATTTTGGGATCAGATTTATCAGACAGATTGCTTGTAGGACAATGACGACAGAAACTTGAAATTTAGTGTGGAGTGCCACAGCGCATGTTGTTTACAACTTGGTGTACTTAGTGTGTATATTACCCGTCTGGCTCGGTAATATCAATTTCTTTCGGGGAAAAAGGCGGAAAAAATCTGGAAGGGTAATTAAAATATATAATCTATTTTTATGTAATTCATATAATTATATAAACACAAAATTCATAAAAACAAACATTTTCAAGTAGCCAAAAGACATCATAGAGTACATGTAGGACCGAGCTGTAAATCAGTAACATTTTGCGCAAATTTCCCAAAGGGTGTGAAAGACCATTATGACATAATTTGCCATAACCTCACTAGATGACAATTTTGTCCCTCCCTTTACTTTCATAATTTTATCAAAATTACAGGTACTTATGTCCAGGGGTAATGTATTTCAATGACAAAACAGAAAAAAAAAAACAAATGCTAGAATTACGCCACATAGATATTCGTTTTTTCCTATTATCATTTTTTATAATTAAACCCTATAGGAAATATTCGTATTTATTAATCCGATATCTATTGTGTCGTTTTTATATTTTGATGCTTTGTTTGGTGCACTTATCTCTTTTATCATGAATTGGAATTGTTCGTATTTGTTCGTTTTTCCGCTAAAGTGGGCGTGACGTTAATTGTAAAATTACGACGTCACGTCCGTTGATATTATTATTATTTATTTACCTTGAAAAAGGCATACATTTGCCGAAACGTTGGAAAAATAAAAAATGATATTATACGTGTTATTGCTGTGACTTTATTATTTTAATGACAAAACAGTACATTTGTACTTAGGTACAACATGATCGATCGTTGTTTATACAGTAGGAAAATGTTTTTATTACCAACCTAAAGAATTTTTATTTATCAAGTAAACTTTTATTATGTAGCCTGATGTACCCTAACGTGATGTCACGTGGTATTTTTTTTTTCGATACTGGAAATGAATATCACCCGGTCAATAATTTTAGCGTTTTCCCTCTATGCATAATTTTATGTTGGTGTTCACCCGTGCTGTTCTACAGAAATTAGAAACTTCGACGGGAGTGATAGTGACAGGAGGATGTTTCTTATTTCTGTAGAACAGCTACGGATGAATACTTATTTATGTGTCAAGCTTTATTTGTCTTTGTATAGAAGGCGACTATGGACGGAATTTGATATAGTATCGAATGAAAATTAACAGACAAAATGTTTAAGAAATACAACGCTTTTGCATGTCAAAGAAAGCTGGACAGGTGCTAAATCTATATCGTCCGCTTTTTTCCTCTTTGCCTATATTTTCAGCGTTTTCTCTATATGTTTATATTGTTCATACAATATTGTTTCTTACTAATTTTATTGAAATAGTATGAAAGCCAATATTTCACCGTAATGTTCTAAAATGTTGAGAAATATGTTCTAGTTTTCTCCCGTGATAAAAATCAATGGTAGTTACAGTAAAATGTAGAGAAATATTTAGTACGCTTTAATTAATGTTTATCAAGATAATATGCCAAATTCTATGAAATACATTTTGACATTGTATTGAAAAGTTATTATAAAGTTTTATCTAAAATTATTACTCATATATATAGATTTTTTTGGCAATTTCACTTTCGATTATTCGTTTGATGAACAGTTCATTCCTTAAAATGTCAAAATGACAATGTTTTTAATTTTCGAGACTATGCGATGGACAACAGGTGGAGGCCATTGCTCCTTTTATAACAACAAAGAACATTCCATTAAAACTGATCACTTAAAAAATCATTTTCCTCTATTATCACTATTATCACGCCTGATCGTAAGAGGCGACTAAATGACTTCAAATTATTGTATTATATACATCTCTTAGCGCCAGCAGATAAGATTGTTTTGACCCCTGGTGTTGATCAAAGTGAACAAGATCATCTTTCCTGTTTCGGCTCCATGTGACCTAAACGGCGTTGGTGCGTCGTAAAACCAAACCAAATAAAACAAGCAAAACATAACGTTTATTTGACGTATGTTTAAACTGACAGGTTCTTATCGTACCTGATCCATCTGTTCCAAGCGGTTTACAATGATCATGTGTCCCTTCTGTTGTTAAGGTCAGCCCCTCTCTTGTTAAGGTCAACAGTGGAACACTAGACCGATTCGCAAGAGAGTAACCTACCTAGAGCCACACAACAAATAATGTACATCATTGATAATGTATAAAGAGACACTATATTGGGGTTGTTTCTACATCTACATCTTTTTGTATATATTCGTATTCCATATAGTCAGTGTTATATCTATAGTTCATTTCTTTCATCAACATAATTGTTTATTTGTCAGATTGGGGTATCTCTGCGTCATTACGATTTTTTTGCCTTCGGGGAGTGCGATAGAACATTTGATATTTCATTTAATTTAAATATTTGTATAGCTACTTTGCCACAAAGAATTTAAAATTGTTGACGAGATTCGAACCAATACTGATGAAGTGAAAATGATTCCTAATCATTGCCATTGACTAGTCATGGAAGGTCAGGGAATGTTTTGTTTCTTTTTCTTCCAACGTAGAATATATATAATAGCCTTTATGAACATCCCTTGAAATAACGCGTGACAGCTTGTGAATACATGGTACATGTTGAAAATCATAATCACTCATATAAGCTATGTTTAAAATCAGACCTGTGTACAAAGGCCATTCAAAGGAGAGACCAAACATGATCTTTAAAGACAAGCGGTCTTTATCTGAAGGTTACTTTGTTTTATTTGATAAATGAAGGGTTTTTGAAAAATGGTCTTTGAATATGGTTTTTCTATCACTTAACTTTTCTCTGCCGTAAACCCCAGAACAAATGAACCAATCAATGGGTATGCTCTGTAGTTCGGCTGTACTCCAGTTAACGCACTGAGCATGTATATATGTATGCGATTAAACTCTTGATACATTTTCAACAGAAAGGTCCCCAAACTATGCTCAATAAAGTTATTAAATTGCCAATTTCATTTTCACCTGAAAGTCAACAGATAACATCTTTACCAGCTGTGTTACGGGACAGTTGGTGCATACATATACTTAGTAAAATATATCACTAGCCTGCTTGACTGGTAATAACTTTGACAATATGATAACAGTTTTTTACCATAAAACGTGACCTGTTTGGTCGCTACGTCACTCTATATTTATCCTAACTCAGCAGTTAAGATCCATGGATAACCCTGAATAAAATTGTTCAAGCGTTTTTGATTAACAAAAAAAAATCATCTTTATAAATCAGTAAGTTTAGAATTTATATAAAGATATGACCATGAAGGTTTATGTCAGTCATTTTAGGGCTCTATGTCATATTGACACAGCTCTTCACAGGTGCCCTCACCGGTGTGGGTTCGAATCCCGACAGCGACATTTGATTCTTTACTGTGTGGAAGCTATTCAGCTAGCTTTCTGAACGTTGGCGGCTCTACTCAGATGCTCGTTCTTGCCTGAAATAATGCACGGAATGACACATGAGGTCTTCCTCCACCAGTAAAGCTGGAACGTCGACATAATGACCATTACTGTGTCGCCACATGTGACGTAAAACCCAATCAAATAAACAAAATATCGTCCCAGGTGTGTATTTTACTCCGTTATGTGACCTGATAACAATGGTAGACAAGTGTGATTACAAAAACACCAAACTGCTTTTAACTTTTTATTTCATTATTTTCACAAAAGTATTCATCACTAACAGTACACTGTAATAATGTCATTTAACATCATATCTTACATCATAACTTTACATCTTTTACATCTTCTTCTTTAGTTTTTGACACCTGGAATATGTACAATATATCATTATTAAAATGGGGAATGTCGTGGTTAAAACGAGAAAAAGAGAATAAGAGAAAAAACAACACACACGCACGCACACACACACACGCACACGCACACGCACACACACACACAAACAACAACAACAACATAACAACTATACTGTACCCAAAACCAAATTATATAATTACATATAGTGGTATATTGCTTTAACCCATTACTTCATGAGCATTTTGTGAAAAATGGCTGTTTTCATTGAAAAGTCTCTCGTTACAAGTTCAAATTGCTATAATACTATAAAAACTGCTTCAACACTAATCAAACTTGGCACAAATGTTGACTGGACCAATGCCCTTGCAACAACATGCTCAGGCTTAAATTTTCTGTTACCATGGCAACGAGGGGACATCTCAAAATTGCCAAAAATCACTATTTTGCGTTGATTTTTTCCATCATAATTGATTTCAAAGTGCTGCAACTTCTCAATGGATTGAGATAGAGTCAAATGCTTTTCAGCGTTGGTTACACGTTACCTTATGATCAATCTGAGGTCATTTATAGCCTCTCACAAGTCCAAAATTTTCTTGGCGATCAGGGGGACTCCGCCCCCCTTCAAACCCCCCAAACAGAAGGGGGACATCCCCCTTCTGGCAACCCCCTGATGTATCTTTTAAGTGGGGGGCCGCGCCGAAAAAGTGGTCACTTTTTTTTACAACATTTCTCAAACAATAACAAGTGTTGGGGGCCTAAATAAGGCATTTTTTCACCATTTGAGACAACAAAAAAGGGGGGGGGGTGAAAAAGGCGTTAAAAGGCGTGTATATGAAGTAATGGGTTAAATTGCAAATTACATACATTTATATATATTTATATTTAACACATCGAACCATATTGTCAACACATTTAAATGCACATACAACGTGGATATTTGTTAAAAAAAAATTATACAAATATCATTTTAACATTTCGGGGAACTTCATTTCATGCACAGTTAAGTATGAAATTTACTTTAAATTATCTCAAAATGATTTATTAAAGATAAAGGTAAACATAAACAATTAATCAAAACATACACTCCACTCTCTCCAAGAGGTATTGTGATGTCACCAGATCCCACGCAAGTCAGGCGTTTCTTGCAAGGACAAGACTTGAACACGATACCGTCCGGTCGGCCAGAACCATTGTTTACAAGACACTCTGTAATAATATAATAATCCATTAAATTGAAAGAGAAATTCATATATTTTACATGTACATGTATATCGAGGGTTTGGTGTGAAACAGCTGTATTACATATTGAAAGAGTTACGTGCGTTTTCGCACTGATCCACCGATATACATTTTTATCTGTTTTATTTTTTGACAAACCTAATATAAAACATAGTGTATCGAACAAGTAAACAAGCAATGGTTATTTCACGCATGGCGACAAAATTTTCCATGTTGAATACTTACTGTTTAATTAATATTATTTGTTGAGCTCAAATGCTAATTGTTTAGTTCAAATACTAATTAAAATAATCACGTGGCTTTAGTGAAACCAATCAGGTCTGCTTCCTGGATTTAATCAGTATTGTTTAAAAAAAACAGTAGTATTCACAGAAGTGTCCTTGGTTTGAAAATCAGACATATAGATCACCAGACCGATTTCAAACCTTTGCATAAATAATCACTATAAAAAAGCTTCTATCATTTTTGTTGGCCTCATCTGGGTCTGCGTCTCGTTTAAAACAAACTTCATAAAATGTGACTTACCAGTTCCTTTTTTTCCGAGCGGTTCACATTCACCTGGTGCCTGGGCAAGGTCAGCGAAGCGTTTAGCTATTGGACGTGTTAAACTTACACAACATTCAAAACGGCCACAGTCATCGCTGGTGAAACATGGCTTTACACAGGTACCTAATGAAAGAAATCAGACAAATTCAATTCATCATTATAAATAGACCGTTCTCTACTATTTTATGATTTTTTTTCCACGTTTTTTTTCCAACTTATGCCTAATCTGATATAACGCAAGCAATTGATAACTTCTGAACCTAATGTAACTTATATCTTATCTGATATAACGCAGGCAGCCGATAAAGATAATTTCAGAACCTAAAGTAACTTGAACCTAATCTGATATAACGCAAGCAATTAATAACTTAACTTCTGAACAGGCTATTGATGAAGAAGCGGGCACAATTAGATGTTCACTTTGTATATTATTGGTGTGAACGTACCTAGTTCTCCCAGAGGTATGTCGTAACGTCCTTCACCTTTACAATTAAGCCCGTCTGAACAAGGGCATGACAGGAAGTAGATGTCTTTACTAGAGAAGAGAAGTCTCTGACTAGACATTCTGTAATTAAAAATCAAAACGTAGTTATGATACTATATCTACAACTAGTTTCCTTAATGCATATTTTCCCTAAATGGCTGAAATTTATAATTTTTAAATGGAAATGTTAGTTTGAATTTTACCGAAATAGGAGGTGTCACCTTAAATATACTTTAATTCGAGGTGAAACTTAAAAAAAAACTAAAAAAAAAAATAGGTGTTATATCAAATTTACTTTAATGTGTGTTCAATCAAAACAATGCTATGAAACAAATACAAAAAAAGGAGAAATATACCTCGATTTTTTTTTCGCAGTTTGCAAAGTGATATAGGAATAGTTTTGCAAATAACTCACAAAGAAGTAAACTTTGACATCAAACAGTGTTTTGAGTAGCTACAAGGATGTTATGTGAAAATCTGCTGTTCTTTGAAACATTAGTCTGCCAGCGGCAACTGACTTTATCCATACGACCAGTGCAGACAAATATCAATCAGCACAACCGTGCCGTTTTATCATGATTTGGCCTGCTAACGGTAACGGACTTGTATTATCCACGAGACCAGTGTAGATCAATATATCAGCCGACACAACCGTGCCGTTTTATCATGATTTGGCCTGCTAACGGCGACGGACTTGTATTGTCCGAGCGACCAGTGTAGACCAATATCAGCCGACACAGCTGTGCTGTCTGATCGTGACATGTATTATTTTCTATTCTGTTAGTGCTTATTTGCAAATGTAACCCCAAAATTGTGGATGGTTTTGTCCAGATTGGAAAAATTGACAAATCCCATTAAGATTTTTAAGCATGTTAGGGGTTAATATATTCATTTGTAAGAATTACTTATTTGTATATTTGCAGCTATACATTGTATGGTTTTTTGTAGAACCAACGCTGTTATATGATGTAACTGTCAAGTTTTATTGATGCAGACCCTCATTGTGCTTTCAAGATTTATCTAATGAATGATTTTTTTTATATCTTTGAAACAAAAATTAATTTATTGAAAAGAAAAATGTTGGATATGTTGGATAAAGGTAAATTCAATGGATAAATATAATAATTAAGAAAAAATTACTATTACAAAAAATGTAATAGAGATCGAACCTGATCCAAGTTTCGCCGCGCGGCATACATTTTCCATTCACATATTTTTTTTGAGATCGTCGGAAATATCACGTTTACCAATTGGTCTGGTAAAGCTGACACAACATTGTTTTTTCTTACAGTGTGCATTGGTGTTACAGTACCTTTCAATGCCCCACGACCAGGAGTGGGTACAGTCTGTGAAAACAAGCAATAATTAAAAAAGTAATAAATACTACCCCCCCCCCCCCAAAAAAAAAAAAAACAAACAAAAAAACAACACACACAAAAAAACCCAGAAAAAAAAACAACACACAAAAAAAAACAAGGAAAAAACACACACACACACACTTACAACACCCACAAACACGACATAATAAAACAAAAACAAAACAGCAACATCAACAAACATAACACACGGTGCGGTATGTTTTTACGTCATCACGGCTTTGATTGTACTCCACAGAAATTTATATATACATGTATTTACATTTTATGCATCTTTTAAGTTTGGAAAAGTCAATTGTTCATTTATTAAGTTTACATAAACTGCAACATTTAATTTCATATCATTTACATTCTTAACTGTTGTTCAAAGTAAATTATAAGAATTAACACTAACTCTATATTAAATTTTACAGATTAATTACGTTTGTTAAAATTTAATTGATATTTAAAAAGAAAGATAATGTAAAAAAAATAACTTACTTCAATAGTACTTAAGTATAGAGCACAATATAATTTATCACAACCTTCCACATTATATCTATCTAATAAAGATATGTAAATAAAAAATACGTTGTGTATATATTCATATGCAAATATACAATATTCATATGAAAGAATGTTTTATCTAGACTATAATCCGATCATCTTTTGTTCTCCGGTCGTAGGACAGGGCGGACCGTAAGACAGGACAAACCGTACAAGGGCGTACCGTATGTTTGGACAGGGGGGACCGTATTTTGGGACAAGGCGGACCGTGACTCGAGACGATGCGGACCATGCATATTTTTTAATTTAATCTTGCTATTTCATTTTTTTTAATCTTTTGATATCAATATCATCCTAAATATGTTTTAAATTCAAGGATTTTCATATTGAACAGATTTATATTTCAAAATTTAAACAATGATCTAGTTGAATATATATAAATTTATCATGTGCACACGACATAAGGTGGACTATTGATTAATATAATTTTATATTTATAATTATTATTAACGTTGACTCATACAATTATAATTATGAAATAGGTACTGTAGCGTAAGCTAGTGGGAATGGATTGAGAAAGTCCCATATGCAAAACATATTTTTCTCTTGTGCTGATGTTAATAAACTTGACAAAATTACCTTAAGTACTATATATTTTTATATATACCATTCATATCATTTTAGCAGTATTGAGGAATATTGATTATTTATATTACTATTTATTAGTTAATTACAATAAACTTATGAAAACAAAGGAATAATTAATATACTAGTACAATGCATACATGTATATCAATTTGCCAAACAGACAGCATCTGAATTTAGACATAGCACAAAACCATTTCTGATATAAACTAACTCGTCAAAGAATCAAAATTGAGGAGCATTCAACGCAAGTCAACTAGGAGCGTGCAGTCAAAATTGATGAAAATATTAATAGAATATTCAAACAAAACATTTTCCACGAAGAAATTCCCTGATAGCTGTACGTGCAAGTCTTAACTTTATGGCCCTGGCCATGTGTGTATATATATGAATATCATGTGTTAATGTATGAACATATGTTAAAATGTAAATATAGATATACACATGCGGTTTTTAATTGCTTTTGTATATATATTTGTCATTACGTTTTTGTTTATCTGTAAATAAATAAAGCTTGCCATGTAAATTTTGTTCATTTATTTTCTTTAAACGTCTTTACGTTATTGTGTTGTATTGTGTTTCAAATGTCAGATGTGAATAACAAGTATTTTCTGTATAATATTGTTCAATAAAGATATTTGTTTTTGCAATTCAATTCAATATTTTATTTGCAATAATCAGTGTACAAAATGGCTTTGACAAACTACAGTTTATACAAATCACACAAACAGCAAATGACATATAATTGTTACATATCTGTTACATCATTACGAAACTGATGTGGAGAAACAGCAAAGAATATGACATCTTTTCAAAAATGCTTTATTTAAAAATTTCGATACATTCAGTAAAATTGATTGACATTAAACTATAAAATTTAGTAAAGATGGCCATGTTGTGTTTAGGAAATATTTCTTGCGAATCTCAGAATTATGTTTACATATTAAAAGAAAATGATATTCACTTTCAACAACATGCAATGTACAATGTTCACACAATCTACCCTCCCTGTCTATCTATACCTCGATAACGACCGGTTTCTACAACTAGATTATGACTGCTTAATCTCAAGGATACAAACAGTTTCGTTAATTTGCCACTTTTAATTATATGAAAATATTACTCTGATTCAAATACAGTTTAAACAGCGGTGTCGCTTTATTATTTAACAAATATTGACATGTAATATCCCAATAATTGGTCAATAACCACCTGCATCATGTCCAACTCGACACGGTTATTAATAATTTCAATAAAAAATTATTCTCTTTAATATACTGCATTTATGTATGTATATGTTTTTATGATATTAAAAGAGAAAAAAGAAACATCAATCTTTAAATATCTTTATTACATAAAATCACGGTCCGCCTCGTCTCAAGTCAGGTCTGCCATGCGCCAAAGTATGGTCCGTTCCATCCAAACATACGGTCCGCCCTGTCTTCCTATCCGCCCTACCCGTAATTGACACTTCATTAAATCAGTCTATTTCTCTCCGCGAAGGGTTGTGGAGCGACAGTTAGGATACGATTATAATGAGATTGCCAGAGGGCTGTATCTACATTAAACAGTGTTTCTACTCAAGGAGAAACATCATTGACAAGAAAAGCATTGATGCAAAGCATCAAAGGGCGTCCAAGCAAGAAATGCAACAAGTGAAGATGAACTAGTAGACATCTGGTGACCATATATTTCTTATAAACTTTTCAGTGGTTAATTGGTTTTTACCAGAATTGTATATCATTTATGAATGGGCAGACAAAAGACATTGTTCATCGTGAACTTTGGTAGGCATGCTAGAGATTAGAATATTACATGTTTTTTTCCCATAGGAACTTGAAATTCTATCAATAACGACAATATCCAATATAATATCCAAAATATAACCCCTATATGGTATAAGTTTATTCAAATTATATAGGGTGTATTTTTAGATATTAAAATTAATATTGGTCATTTGATAGAATTTCAAGTTCATGTATAGGTTAAAATTTATTTTAGTACGTATTTACAAAAATAAATTGGCTAGCGACGAAGCCGTGCGACCAATTTATTTTTGTAAATACGTACTAATAAATTTTAACCGGTTTAGTGTTTTAAATTATTTTAATAAACAGTCGATTTACAAGACTGCTTAACAGTTTGCCGATTTACCGAAGTAAATGTGTTACGATTCATTTGAAATACTGGGATCCTATTGGACAAAAAATAATTTCAAACACTGAGTGATATTTTCTTCAGAACATACAAAATAGTAGTCAAAATGAACAAAGTCTGTTAATTGAATTTTTTGTTTTTGTTTTTTTGTTATTGACAAATTCTAAGTTAGTTTTTCTTGACTGTCTGTTTTGTTATTGATTTCAACCTTGTTTATTTTCTATTTATTTATTTTAATAGGCAGATCAAAGTTATATGACCGTTCCATGTGATATAGACACAACTTCATTAATTGCATCCCGACAAATTAATAAAAATGTAAGTTAAATGTATAATAGCATTTATTTTCACGAACGTGAAATTAAAGAATGAGAATACAACACGTAGTAATATGAAAAAAGTTCAACTTTAACTCTTGTAACAACCCTTGACATAGGACGACAGCTTGTTA